TATTCAAAGCAAAAAAAAAAACAAAAAAAACCAAAAATCTGGTTTGCAAAGCAAATAAAACAAGAAAGGGTAGGATACAAATAAAAGGCAAGTTATATCCGACTCCGTTGCAAGGAATCGAACGAGAAAATTTTTGTTTAATACATTTCTACACTAATGAATACAAGTACACATGTCCGATGCTGGAGTAAAGCATAATGAAGGCAATTATCTATAATTGAGAAAACCAACCGAGCAACGCCACCCGACAATGTTCATAAATAAGTGTGGAAAGAGAAAGTGATAGGCAATGACCATTGGTTGGTGGGTTGGTGTGCCCAATCAGTGATTGGTATGTCCTTACTAATTGGAACCCCATTATAGGTGCGACCAAATACCATCAATTCCACAAGCGGCGACTCCTATATACTAGGCTAAGTGGATGCGAATGCTCGGGCCAACTTAGGTGGTATCCAAATTTGATGAGGAGATGTTCAAGTTCGTGAATTTAGCGACTGGCAAATGTTTTTAGCAACTTAAAGAAACCGACCCAGATTGACTATGGAGATGCTTTCAGGAAGTAAAGGGACAAAAAACTTAAAAAATGTGATAATTTCTCAATTTTAATTTTAAAAATATTTTACTAAAGGAATAAGTATTCAAGCGCAGAGGATTTTCGATTGGGGTCACATCATACTTATTTAACTATATCCGGGTTCCAGAAGAAGTTGAACTGAATTTTAAGACTAAAGTCGCAGAGCGTTGGTAACTTTTTTGAAAAAACCCTGCTGCACATGAGATTTGAGCCCATTGACAATTGTATTGTTAGTCGAAATCCTTTGCCTACCCGTCCACTCAGGCAGATATGAACTGCTTGGTGAAAGAAGCTATACAGTTAAAACTTCAAATCGGTCATTAGTTAGTAATGTGTTGGAATTTCAACTTGCATACCAGGGTTTTTGGCGTAAAAATTCTTACGCTGCCAAGCATATGCAATAGAGCTTTCTGTGGCACGACCACACGCTGCATATTATATAAATCTGTCTTGGGTGGATCGCACTTAGATTATACAAATACATGAGCTGTGCAGAGTCCATTGCGATTAACTTATTTGTTGTAATTAAAATAATTTTCTTTCTCAATCAGACATGAGACACTGAGCAATTTTTATGCTGGTCGAAAAATAAAGACAGAGAGAGAAATGTAAAAAAATTTATTTATACATAATTTTCGTTGCAGCACGCTGTACGAAAACGAACGAATACTGTCGCAAAATGTCTTGTGTGAACGCTTGTTATAGATGAGTCTACAGTATACAAATAATAACAAACATTTACATTTACGTTTACTTTGGGGCTACCAGCCTTATTGCAGACAGTATAGTAGAAGCTTTGTTCACAACATATAATCGCACGTAATTATCTGCATAATGTCATGTGTAAAGTAATTTGTCCCTAAATATATACATAAAGCTAACAAAGCACAATTCATTGATGAGTTCTCCGGTTGCAACTCAATAATAGGTAGGAATAAAATAACCTTGGTCCAAGGTTGAAATAAATTTTCTCTCTTCTCATTTACCTTCGATCGATAAAACGGTTTCAAAGCTTTACCCGACACGTTTTCCCCCTAATGCGTATATGCGGGTCAAGGGCCCATTGATCATGTTTTGATTGTCATTCTCAATCCAGATGATTTACAATGACGAACTTAACATACCACCATACATACCTTTAAGGTATTGTGTGTGAGCGAGAACAAAAGAAACATTTGAAATATTATTTTTACAATTATACGTGTTTGGTTGCATACATAATTTATGCACCCCTATGAAAATATGCACAAACGATTTAAATAATATTTTTTTTTTTTTTCTTTTTCATTTCATTTTCAACATTTTAAATATTAAATATATACTTTGAGGACAATCTTGCACAATGGTGAGAAAGCAAAAATACTATAAAATGTAATGAGAGTACAAATGATCCAAGAAGTAAACGAGATTCGTTACACGGTTGCGTAAAATTTCGTGATCGTGAGATAAATAAATCTTTGATACCGAAAGCATATAGCGCTTTAAACGTGACGTTGATATTTTATGCTTAATAATCAACAACACTATAAACCTGCTGAACTGTTGTTAAAAAGTATTTACAATCAAAGCGTGAAAAATGTAACAAATCAGCATTTTTTCTCAAGCTAAAGCTTGGCATGAGAGAATGGATAATAATAGCATCTCGAACGACCCCTTTGGATTTATCTTTAGTACCAACTCTTAGCAGGCATTCCTTGTCAATCAGAAAATAAGCTCCTCACAGTTCGCTTTATCTACTGAAATCGTAATAACTTTCAAGCAGATTTAAAGTGAAAAACTAAAACTAAAAAGCTTCACTAGTGAACAGAAATGTTCATTCAGTGAGGTGAAGTTCAGAAGAAGAAAGGAAAACTTTGGAATTTCGTAGTTAATGTGTACTTAGTGGATCACACAATTTAGTTTCATAAGCAGCACGAGTTTCAAAAGCTTAGCCATGATGATATGGCGAAACAGCCACATCAGCCAGCGGTCAGTATTCATCCTCGCTGCTGGATTCTAGGGTTACTTCTCCTAAATTTAAAAAGCTGATGTGTAGCCGGGCCATCAAAGAGTCCACCCTTACTTCGCTTTGCTAGAAAGAGAAATTTGGTCAATTTGCGAGTGAACTTTGGTCTAGATATTATGTTTCCAAGGGCAATGTAAATAAATGCTTCGGTTTAGTCATCAATCCGCAATCTAATAATAAAACTTTCGACTCTAATTAAGAGGAAATTTTTTTCATTTACATGCGCGAATTTTCCATATTCCATTTTTCAGTACATTTCAATATTTGCTTGTGTGTTTATGCAAAAGCACACACATGTGCACGCGATTATACTCTGTTAGACCGCACGTATGCTAACAGACCAATAGCGTTTACTCTTGATTACACGACGAGCAAGTTTGTTTGTTTGACATTTTTTCGGAATATGAGATTTTTTGAAATTGTAAACGCTTGACTTTTAGTTTTCACTTGGTTCCTGTGTGGGATTAAAAGGCTTTGTATAAAAAAAATTGAACGTGTGTAGCTATAACTCTTACATAACCCTCTCTTTAAATAAAACCGAAAATATGCGCTGGTGTACGCAACAAGCAATGATAACATGTAAGAAAATTATATTCGATCGTGACCGAATCTTTTATACCCATCACCGTTATCCTAAAAGAGACAAAGAAAATAAAAGAAATAACCTTACGTGCTCTATAAAATGGAAGGGGCGCGGCTGTGTTCTTCTATTTTCAAAATAAAAGTTTTTGCCGTATGGGTGTGTGAGCGTTGTCCGTGGAGAAGTTTAAGTCACTTTCAAATTCTTTTGCGAAATTTATGGGCGATATCTTCTTTTTCGCTAATAGGAGAACCTTTACCACAAGCACTATACAGTTGCAGGAGGGCAGACGAATAGACTGACATGTTTAGGTGCATTTCAAATTTGAAACTGCCCGAGGGGCACTTTGCACTTTGTCGGATCTTTGAAATTTGCTTCTGCGAGTTATAGAGGCATTGAGAAGCAAATTAAGTTTTCTTACACTATCATATTGGATAGGGGTGGTTAACCTTTTCCGTTTTCGTACAGTTAGTACAGCATCGCCCGTAGAATAAAATGCCAAGTTTTTGTACATTTATCTGCAATAGTTTATGAGTAATGGTCCATAAACCAATATTTTATTTCTTTCGAAAAACAGAGGTTTTGTCACTTTGCGTAGTATCATAGGCGTGTCCTTCCACCGATTTGCCTAAGTTATGATACCAACCTCCGTGCAAGTATTTCCAATGCTTTCACTAAATTTAAAGTTGATAGCCTCAGTTTTCTGGCCAGGAGAATGATTGCACCAGATATTGTACGGACAGACATGCTTAAATCCATTTAAAATTTGCTGCTGATCAAGAACATATATCACTTGTGGTGACTCTGAAATTTTCTTCTGGACGCTGCAAACATTTCCACGAAATGAATATAACTTTTCTTCCTCCGGCGATAGGTACAAAAGCAGACAAAAACTTCATTTAATACCTGCATCGTGTTATCAATGATTTTTTTTTTTGCTAAACAGTAAAAGTAACGAGCACAAGCTCTATTATTATTCATTCTTTTTGCGTTCAATTGTAATAAATGCTATATTTAAATTGAGAATTACCATTCGAAGCACAAACATGTACACAAAATAATGTTCGGCATTTCTTTAAAAAGGATCGCATATTAAATGGCAAAGGTCAGCATGAGAAGGCGCAGAATAGAACTGAGTTCTATTTGATGCTAATATTTACAACGGCATACATGCCGATTAAATGTATTTGCGTTTAAAGAAAAACGTTTTCGTTTTCGTTTATATTAATTGCTAGGAAACTTCTCCGTGCTCCTAAAAGTCGATTGAAAAAAAAAAAAAAA